ATCCTTCACATATGAGACCCAACAAATTCCACTAAAAGATTCCTAGAACTAATAAATTAAGTAAGGTAACAGTATACAAAAATCAATACTCAAAAATCAATGACATTCCTATAGACCAGTAATGAGCTCACCAAGAAAGAAATCAAGGAAGCAATACCTTTCACAATGTATTAAAATATAATGTATAGGTACATTTTGACATGGGGAAATTTCAGAACTTTCCTACAATGAGGGAGCACGATTGATCAGACAGGAGTGAATTCCACTGCCTAACAAACCTGTAGTGAAAAGCTGTGTATTTGGTAGACTGCCCCTTGGGACTATGGATGAATGGGTAATTAGCTAATTCCAAAGAGGACTTGAGTCCCATTCCTGTGGCAGTATAGTACTAAAAACATTGAGCCTTCAAGGATACTTAGAAAAGAGTAAGGAGGGACCAGAAAGCAGCACACCAACCCCATGCATCTCAGGGGGATAATTTATACTAAAACCCCAGACTTCAGGGGTGATAAGCAAGGACAGGGTTCTGGTCTGGACAACAGACTGAAACACGTAATTGCAGCCAGGAAAGTAAAAGCAGTTACAGAAGACTGCCAGCCTGAGAACCTCTTCATAGCCTCTCCTGAAGTACTGAATAAAATAGTAAATGACCAGCAAATTGAGAGGTGAGGAAATAGTTGTCCTGTAAGTCTGTTCTGATGTCTGAATTTGGTCACATATATTACCTTTGGCTTCCCAGTCAGCTTTGCTTTTTTATTTTCATCTTTGGCCTTTCCCTCTCTCAGCTCTTCACTTTTGTTGAGAACTAACATCTGTGATTAGCAAATGGGAGAAATTAGTCTAGATTCTAAGATGTTCAGTAAATAACTGACAAATCAAAGAATCTAGAGTAATAAATTCTATATCCAAGTTTCCCAAAACATAAAGTAACTCCAAATGAAAGACTATTTTATTATGTCAAATAAAAGACGTGTAATTTAAAGAAACAGAAAAATTATAGTTAATGTAAATTGTAGCTGAATTTCCATTAAACAACTAGTCAAGATAAGAGATGGGAGGGAGAAGAAGAGGGAGGGAAGGGAAGGAGGAGGATAAAAAAAGAATTTAGATATGTATTTTCTTGCAACCCAAAAAGTTGTTTCATGCCCCTTTTCAGTCAGTCTTCATTCCCCACCTATAGGCAAAAACTGATCTGTTTACAGATTAATTTTATCTGATCTAGCATTAAATATGAAGAGAATACAGTATGTGTTCTTACATTGATACATATGTTTATCAAAATTCATTGAGTCACACAGTTGAAATAGATGTGTTTTACTGTATGTAAATTATTCTTCAATAAAGTCAACTTTAAAAATGTAAAACAAGATGTTATATACAATGAATAAATGTAATCATTATGCACTGTCAACATATACTAATAAAAGATTTTAAATTTTTTTAAAAATAAAATGTATATAAGCTAAAAAATTAAAAAGTAAAGATTACATTACTCATGGTGCTCATGATCTCTGTAAAAAAAGTCATGATGTATGCCATCATAATTACTTTTACATTGATCATGAATTTCCAACCATTTCATTAAGACTAGAAACAATAATTAAGAAATATAAAAATTTTCAGAAGGAAAATGCTGTTTGCAAGGAGCTTTTTGTTCTATCTACACAAAAATTTTTCTAAAAATCAGTATCAGTGGGAAAATTGTAAGAATTAAAATTAGTTCATCAAAATGAATGATGTAGAAAACTAAAAGTCAAAACTAATATAATCACAACATATAAAATAATAAACACAAGATTACTTTGCCAGCAATAATTAATTGATTGATATAATATAAAACAAAAAAAATCATAAAAACATTTCAAAGCAGCACAAGTTTATCAAAGTGGATAAATACAAGAAGAAACAACAACAAAATAATAAAAATTAAAAAGATCTATTCAATAGGTCAACAGAGACAAAAATATATAGTGAGATACATAATGAACAGAAACAACGACATGCACTAAAAACACCTAAAAATAGTAATAATCCTAATAAGAACAGTGAAGTACAAAACTGTCCTGAGTTTTTAAAGATTTAAGTAAAGGCAGAAAGCAATCATATTTATGAAGAATCTTTGATGATATAATATGCCAATTTTTTTTCAAAACTTATCTACAGGTTTCATATAATCCCAAAAGCAATTGCATGCTATTTTAGAACTCAACAAAGGAAGTTTAATCAGGAGAATAAATGTAAGAAAAAGGTTTAAAATTGAAGAAAATAATAAAAGGAATAGAATCTTGCTGTGTTCTGGATTTATTATAAGTCTGATATTGACACAAAAATAACCAGAAAGAAATAGAAAAAGTAGATTCCCAGAAATAAAATTAATATATATTTATATACATGTATATGTATATATATTCACTATATGACAAAGGAGGCATAATAATCACTTGATGAAACATGTAGACAGAATCTATTGCTTAATTATTTGAAATCAATTTATTTACATGGTGCTCATTAACAATAAAATTAATAACATGTAAACAAGTTGAGTAACAAAATGGAAAGATCAACTATTAAAACTTTAAAGTCATAGGGAAATGAATACTGGCCAAAAAGTTTAGTAAAGAATGATATTCTACAATTGTTTCTAGTTTGGATAATAGAATGTTTTCAAAATTTAAGAAAGCTACACAGATCCTTTCCCAAGAATAATATCAATGTACTCATAGAAAAAAAAATTTCCATATAAATTTAGTAAATTCACAGACTGTCATGGAGATCACCCATAAGTTCTTCTTTCAAGAAACTTATTTAAGCTTCAAAGATAGGAAAAAATGTTTAAAATATAAATGTTTTTAAAGATAAATATACATATATCAGAATATATGGATATATAAATATTTTGCAGCGTATATAAGCCATTAAACAAAAATTGGGGAATATGTCACAAATCATTTAAGAGTGTTTGGTAGTTATTGAAATATATTTATAGAGAGAGTTTAAAAGTTTATAAAAATTTCTTAGTGAATAAGGCAATTTACCTGCGATACCATATGCTAAGAAAAAGGATAAAAAACCCTATGTATATGAAATAACTAAGAAACTTGCAAAGAAAAATGCTGAAAATTAAATATTTTAAAATATTAAAAATCATTATGTTTGGTTGATAGGATTTTGATTTACATTTTTATTTTTGTTTTCTAAAATGCTATTGTTTTATTTTTCTTATTTTTCTTTATAAATTACATGGGCAATAATATATTTATAATCAATAATTGGCAGAGTCATTAATTGTTCTCAGATATGGTGAGAGACAAAGACATGATCTTACAGTTAGTGCTATGAAATAAAACAAAGGCAGAGATTTGAGAAAGGGACTATTAATATTTACATTTTTGAAAAGGCAAGTGGTATTCAAAGATAAATGTAATAAAACAATTTTTCAGATATTCAGGTATTCCTAAAGGATAATGCCTTTTTGATATAATTACTTGAAAATATTCTCCAACAATCTAAGAATGAACAAAATCAAAAATGAAAAAAGATGTAGTATTAAAGAGTCTAGAATGAGCCATGAAATGACTAAAAAGTCTAAATGAGTGCAGTAAATGCACTCATTACAAAACTATTCCATACAAGAATCTGGAAGTGACTGAAAGTTTGTTGGTAATTCCCCCCTTGTACATCTTTTACTAATCAAATTAATTGTTTAAGCATACCATTTTAAGCACTTAAAATTTTTTTTCAACAGTATAAAAAAAGGGTCAGGGATTTAGCTCAGTGTTTCCGCCACCTGCCTCACAAGCACAAGGACTCAAGTTCAATCCCCGGTACCAAAAAAAGGTATAAAAAATTTTAAGCATACAGTAAATTGCAAAGAATTTTAAGTAAACTCATATCAACCATCTAGATTCTACCATTAATTTTTAGGTTTTTTAAGTTTTATTTTGTATGTAATTGACATATAATCATTGTCCATTTGCAGTGTGATGTTGTAATACATGTATATGCATATACAAATTAGGGTGATTATATCCATCACCACAAATATCTATCATTTCTTTGTAATGAAAATATTCAGAATACTCTCTTCTAGCTATTTTGAAATATATAACAATACATTATCATTAACTATCGTCACCCTCCTGTGCAACAGGACACCAGAGTTTACTCCTCCTAATTATAATTTTGTACCCATTGATCAGCTTCTGCCCACCCCTCTGACCCACCTTCAATCTTTTGCAGCCCCTGGTCACTACTATTCTGCTTTCTATTTCTATGAGATCAATTTTTTTACTTCCCATAAATGAGTGAGATCATATGGTTGGCATTTGTCTGTGATGGATAATTTTTTAATTAATTTTATTAGTACACTTTTGATAATGATCACATTCATCCTAGGGAATTTGTACCTGTACATAATACATCTTGATTCTTTTTCCCTCATTCCCCTGCCCACCATTTAACCCTTCTTCCCTATATATCATATAAATGATATATAAATGACAGCCTCTGTACGGTGAAGATTAATGAGATGCTTTGTACCAGAAAACACTTGCCAACCATGAGGCACTGTTTAAATGAAAACCATGGTCAGGGTTTCTATTATGGCTACATACTGCTCCCTTCCTGAAAATTACCACGAATGGTATCAACACTTCTGCCCTTCTAATTTTGCCTGTTGAATATAAGGTACTTTCTAACATACATGTTTCCTGCTTTGCATCCATGTTCTCTCCATACTAAAAAGTACACCCAGAATTTCAGGAAAATAAAGCTAGAAGATCTCCACTATTATCCTAGTAAAATCTTCATCTTAGAATAGATTTTGGCCCTCTGTCCTTATCTGAGCTTTTTCCAAGTGTCAGGGGGACCAAGAATGACATATTAAAAAGGAACTGTGTTGCGGATGAGCATTATTCACCTACCCTCGGCAGAACTAACCACAACCTTTTCTGTTTCCCCTTCATCCACAGGCAGATGCTGAGAAGGAAACATTCCATGATATGGATATTGCTCAGAATATAATCAATAACTCAGAGTTTCAAGTGTCTGAGTTCATCCTGATGGGACTCCCAGGCATTCACGAGTGGCAGGCCTGGCTCTCCTTGCCCATGGCTCTGCTCTACCTCTTAGCTCTTGGTGCTAATCTCCTGATCTTAATCACCATCTCCAATGAGCCTAACCTACACCAGCCCATGTATCAGTTCCTCAGTATCCTGGCTGTCGTGGACATTGGCCTGTCTACTACCAGCATGCCCAAGATTCTGGCAATCCTGTGGTTTGATGCAAAGGCCATCAGCCTAGCTCAATGCTTTGCTCAAATCTATGCCATCAACGCTTTTATGCTCATGGAGTCAGGCATCTTCCTCTGCATGGCAGTGGACAGATATGTAGCCATATGTTATCCCCTTCAGTATCCTTTCATAGTCACTGAAGCTTTTGTAATCAAAGCTACACTGTCCATGGTGCTAAGGAATGGCCTGTTAACCATCCCGGTGCCTATCCTGGCTGCCCAGAGATACTATTGCTCCAGAAATGAAATTGACCACTGTCTGTGCTCTAACTTGGGGGTGACCAGTCTGGCCTGTGATGACATCATCATTAACAAGCTTTATCAATTAGTGTTGGCCTGGCTTCTGGCTGGGTGTGACATGATTCTGGTCTTTGCTTCCTATGCTTTGATTATTCATTCAGTGCTGAAGCTCAACTCTGCTGAAGCAATATCTAAAGCCCTGAGTACCTGCAGCTCCCACCTTATCCTTATTCTCTTTTTCTACACAGCTATTATTTTAATATCTGTCACTCACCTTGCAGGAAGAAGGATTCCCCTCATCCCTGTTCTCCTCAATATGCTGCATATTATCATCCCTCCATCCCTTAACCCTATGGTATATGCCCTTAGGATGCAGGAACTGAAAGCAGGCATCCAGAGAGTGCTTGGTTTAGGTGAGTATGTGTCCAGGAAGTAAGCCAACTTTAAATGACAGAATATTATATACAATATAGCCAAGAAAGCCTAGGCTTCAGAGCCCCATATTTGTTGGTTAAAATTTCATCTCTCAATTCCTAGGAACATCACTTCAAATTAATTAACCTATTTCATTCAGCACATAGTATGTACAAGGCACTGCTCTAAGCATTTCACAAAGATTAACATTTAACTCCTGTAACAACTCTATGAAGCAAATAGTTATTATATACTTTGCAGATGTGGCAACTGAGCTGCTAAATTAGCTTAAGATCAAATAGGAAGCAAGTGTATAGTGAGAATTGAAACAAGCAGTTAGGTTCCAGAATCTCTTAACTCTCTCTTTCTTTAACCTTACTACTAATTTTAATGTAAATTAAGATGAAAAAGCAAGGCAAAATTATTATTTTTTTATTATTTTTATTTTTTAAAATTTTATTTTATTGGTACATTTTATGTATGCAATATTAATGACATGCATCATTGGAAATTTGCACCTTTACATAATCTCTCTTG